CAAAGGAAAGGAACACAAGGTGTGTCGCTTGAAATGTTATGATATCTTGTTAGTCGGGAACGACATGGAGTTAATTGTCACTGCACAAAAATGGTTGTCCGTCACTTTTAAGTTAAAGGGCTTAGGACAAGCTGAATATTTTCTCGAGGTTAAGATCTCAAGAAATCGTTCTAAGAAGTTCTTGAGTTTGTCTTAAGAAAATTAAATTCAAAGGGTTTTAGAATGAGTCCATATGCAAAACTCTAAGCCTATAGACACTCCAATGGAGAAAGGCCTATATCTCAACATGGCACAATCTTTTAAAACTGAAGAAGAAAAGAAACAAATGGCAAACATGTCACAAGTTCTATTGGAAGTCTAATGTAAGTTATGATGTATACTCGACCAGGCATATGCTTTGCGATTTGTATGGTCAGTAGGTACCAAAGTAATCTTGGGATTGCCCATTACGTTACAATCAAAAGGATACTACGATGTAAGAAGAATTACTAATTTCACTTTGTGCTATCAAGGTGGAAGTCTAAAATTGATCGAATATAGCGATGCTGATCACGCCGGTGATAAAGATGATTGAAAGTCTACTTTAGGATATGCTTTTATACTTAGAGGTAGAGCTATCTCTTGGAGTAGCAAGAAGCAGCTTTGTACTACTCCATATACTATGGAAACAGAGTATGTAGCATGATGTGCTGCTATGCAGGACATGGTTTGGTTAAAGAGATTCTTGCAAAGCTTAAACATTACTAGGAATCTTAATGAAGTTGTTGTACTTTATTGCGAGAACACAGCTGCCATAGCTTACACAAAAGATCCTAAGTATCATGGAAAAATCAAACAGATTGATACTCGTTATCATTACATTTGTGACTTCATTGCACAAGGTCTTGTTGTGTGAAAGTACATTTTCACAATTGATATGTTAGCAAATCCATTCACTAAACCTATTGCTAAAAATGCTTTTGAAAAGCATAGTAAGACTTTAAGGTTATTATGCATTTGATATTCATGTACTATTATTTTTGAAAAATTAATAAATTAAGTCTGAATTGACTTATTTGATCAAATGTTGTTAATTAATTAAGGCACATATCTAAGGTAATTATTGTCACTTGGCTTTATAGATTATTCCTCTCACATGAGATAATCGCTCTAATGCTACAATGATGTGTGGGATGAGACATAAACGATCGTAGGGTACCAAGCATTTAATGATCTCCTTGTCACATGAGTTATGAGCAAGGATCTTAGCAATATCACCTTGACTTGAAGTGAAGATGATGCTCGTAAGAGTCGAACATGGACATTATCCACACTCCATTGAGCCATTGATAGCCGAATTTGAATCTTAAGGGATTTAAGTCAATCCTTTTTGCAAGGATTGGACCAAGATTCATATAGTGGTTTTGACGTAGCAAACCCTAAATGGAAGATCCCCACCATAACATACATTTCATACTGTATGTGTTATTAGTCGACCGATGGAAAGGAGTGATTGAATAGATCCCTGCTTCATCACTGTGTGAGCCCTTAGGACTTATGTAGTTCAAATTTTATACCCTTTGGGACTTGGATATATGATATGACGTTAAGATTTGGTGTTGCTACTTTAGCATGATTTTCAAAGGTCAAAAATGATGTGATATAGTGGAACATGACTAGGAAAGCAGTCAGATCTTAATGGATTGACATGAGTATCCAAGGAAGAGTCATTATACATCTCACATACATGGTCTATAACTCATTACTCGGGGCGGTTATAAAAACATTAGTTGTTAAATATAACCATGAGCTTAGACACATAAAGAGATTTTACATAGCTCTTACAAGTAGAAGCGATCAGAGATGCAACATCTTGTGTGATTAAAATAATTTGGGGTATGACAAGAACTCGAGTAGTGTTATGTTAGTAAGATGGTAACGTTATATCTCACTACTCATCGGTACTTTTATTTTCTCATTGGACACTAATAACTCTATTATATAGAGTTATTTTGACTCATTTTGGGAGCTTAAAGTAGCTAGATCTTTGAGATTTTAGGTTCAAATTTTAGCATTTTAGGTGTTTTTTTAGTTTAAGTTTGATTACTTGTTAAGTGATTAATTTAAGTTATTTTAGTTAAATTTTAGGTTATTTTATTTTAAATTACTTTAAAGGTAGTTATTGCTAATTTCTCTTATGGCTTTTGTAGGAAATTGATGAAAAAGACTCATTTGATGAAAATCAGTGCAAGTATGGTGATAGCTTCATTCGTATATGTTTCAGTATTTTGACTATATCTCTTTCTAAAAAACTCCAAATGAGGTGATTCTTAGACCAATCGAATTATAAGAAGATGAGATACAATGTTTATGTTCACCAATTTGCCCAGTTCTGATTGAATCATGGTTAAAATATTTGTCAAAGTCGGACCACTGCAGCAGTATGTAAAGACTGAACATGATGCGGTATTTGGAGCAAATCTTTCAATCCAGAAGTCCAATTGATGTAATTCTTAATCCATTGGAAAGTTAAGATACAGCGATAAAACTTTTATGTTTACTACTTTGCCTAGTTCC